TTCTTCCACTTGAATTCTTTGATAAATTAGGAACAAGAATTTAAATGACTAGATAGATTTTGTTGGAGAAGGAGAAATCTACCACTTCCTAATGGTATTTGTTTTATGGGGGAAAAGGAACTGTATTAATACTACTTTAAGGTGGGATAGTAAAACTAAAACAAAGCCAGATAACACTGTTACTGAGAAAATTTAGGTTTGTCTGGGAAGCCCATCCCAATTAATTTGACACCAAAGAAGATTTTCTTTACTTGAGTTCCGTACATCTCTGGTTTAGCTCTAGGACACTGACTTATAGTGATTCTGAGTATTCCTCAAGTGTAGAATAACATTAAAGTTTTATATCCACTTTCATGTTTCATTTCCTAAAAATACACCTTATCAACCTTCTTAGGATCTTCCTCTTCTAAGAATGTCCTTATCATAGTACAGTTTGTTTCTGGCTCATGGTAGTGACATATAGCAAATTCACTTTTGATTTAGACTTATACTACGGTCAGTACTGGTTGTATTGGACGTGTGATAGGACAGATTAAAACCCCATTCCCAATAAAGGGTTTATCTGAGGTGTTCATATGCAGATTGAATAATTTCCTTGTAAAAATATTTTATATTCACTCATATAAAATTTTGATTCCAGGTGAACATTTCCAAATATGTCATCTGTAAATATGCCTTAAAATACTGCTCTGATTTCTTCTTCTTTCTCCCAAGAAATGCATAATTTATTATGCTTTTCATAGCAATAATCATCTGAAGAGCTTTCTGAAAGGTGGCAAAACCAGAAAGCAATTAGTTTTATGATTTCAAAGAATGAGCTGACTATTCATTTATTACAATGTTTTCAGACTATTTTAGAACTCTTGAAGGAAGAATAATGATCCAGTATTGTGCTATAAGATTTCCTTTATAAACAGAGTAAGCCATCTAATCTTGACAGATTCAATTGTTTTTGATTTTCTGCCATGGATATCCATCACAGAAATAGAAGTTGTGATTAATAGCATTTTGTCCACTAACCAAAAGCATTTATAATGTATACCTGGAAAACGTTCCAAAATGGAGGGTAACATTAAAGTTTCAAAATATTTCAACAACGGAAAAATCAATATCAGTTGAGGAGAGAAAGCTATAAATGTACTTTTAGGAGAGATAGAAAATAAATTTTTAGATTTTCATTAATTTTAAAGAGATAGTGGAAGAAAAAAAAAACCTTTAAGAGAGTTGATGGGAAATATTTTTCCCAGTTTAAAATGAAAATTATTCCAGAAATTTATTTATCATGTAGGTGTTCAAAATATGTGGAAGATTCTCCGAAATCATATGGATCATTGTAAATGTTTTATTAGTTAAAAAGAACTAAAAAAATTCTAGAATAGTCGTGGTAGCAGTGCAGTGACAGTACTTTCTATAGACTTAGAAAAGCAGTGGTACCTTAAAATTGATTCTATATTTCAGTAACTACATGAAGTCACCTTTCCTCTCACATATAGAGCCATGAGATAAAAGCAAAACTGATAAGAGAGGTGATGTGCTAAAAATGGTTCTAAAGCAGACCTGCAAACAGGTTAGCTTTTGAGAGTATTCTTGCAAAAAGTATTAGCCTGGAAAATTTGCTAGATGGATATATGTGGAAAGGCTAAACAAAATGGAGCTATTATTGTATAGAGCGTATATTCACTCATTCATTAATTCCATTATGCATTTATTTATTCAATCAACAAATATTTGAGTTTCAGTTACTGGAAAGGCATGGGTGTTAAGTGAGTAAGAAATGGCTTCTGCACTCATAGAGGGAAGAAAATTAACATTTGTTGAGGGAAAACCATTTTTCCTCACATGCTTTATGTCTTACATTAACTTTATGAGGTGGATATTTTTACCATTGCTCCTTTTGTATCTGAAGAAGCTGAGCCTCACAGGTGTTTAATATATTGCTCAAAGTCACCCGAGTAGTAAGTGGCAGAGTCAGACTTCCAAACCGGTTTGTCTCCAAAGCCCACTACACTATAGTGCTTGTAATCTAGTGGGAAAGACAGAAACACACTCAATTATCTGTAACTCAGATAATAAACTGTGATACATACTAGAAGAGGGTAGATGGGACATGCTATGGGAGCACAGAGAAGGAAGCTGTTCATCTGCTAGTCTCTAGATCACCTCTGGGAAGCCTTTACATTGAAGGTGGCACTTGAGCTTGGTCTTGAAGATAAATGGATAGGAGCATTGTAGATAGAGACATAAAAGTGCACTGCAGGTTAAAGAAACAGCTTATAGTCCGCAGGGCTAGGAAAGATGTTTTTCACACTTGTGTTCCTGCAGCAATTTTGAATTTTAGAATATTGGGTGGCATACCTGACCAATGCCATGGCCAGCAGTCATTAAACACAATGAGTCTCATGGGCTCTGGAGTTGGGATACAGGCTTTGAATCTAGGCTCTGCCACTTCCCTGTTGTGGAAACTTTGGAAAGTCATTTAGGCTTTGTTTGATTAAATGGGGATAAGCATCATGAGGCTGTTTTAAGGAGAATATGAGTAGATGTGAACTACTTAGCATAGTAGTATATTAGCACATTGCCTGGACTCACTGAATTGGCTATAGGAATACTACATCACAGTAACATTTGAGGATATATAAAGAGCATTCAGTTATTGCAGGATTCTCTTGGTTGCTATTTGCACCATGACATTGTTTGAAGATGACTGACTAAACTCTCTTTTATGTTCACAAAGCACAGTTTTGATAACATTCTCTCTTTTCTACTGCCTTGCTGTTTTGTTAGATCTCTTCTACTCTCAAAAAAATAATCTTCTATACTGCATTGCAGCACCCACTTGACTTAATGTACAATTTGGCAGATATCACAGAATAATGTGTATGTATAGGTTTAGCAAAAACATATTTTACTCATTCAACTTTGGTAGCATATATGGGAAGGGGTACACAATGTGGCCTAGCCTAGTGGTTGTGAACCAACTGTAGAGGGTAGGTTATCTTGGGGGTGGGAAGGGGTATAAGGGATGGAAGAGACTGGTAGGAAAAGTCAGTTGGGTCATGGTCAGGTTGGAAAGGAACTTGAATGCCATGTTGAAAGGTTTAGTCTTGATCCTGCAGACATAGAGAGCCATGGAAAAAAATGACAGTAGGTGTGTGGACTGCACTGTATCCCTGTCGAATCCCCACGTTGAAGCCCTAACCTCCCAGTGTAACTGTATTTGGAGATAATAAGGTAAAATGAAGTTATCTAATATAAGACTAGTGTCCTTATAAGAAGAGAAAGAGATACCGCATCTCTCCTTCTGCCTTGTGAGGACACAGTGACAAGCTGGCTGTCTACAAGCCAGGCAGAGAGGCTTCATCAGAAACCAACTCTGGTGGTCCTTTGATCTCAAACTTCCAGCCTCCAGAACTATGAGAAAATAAAATTCTGTTGTTTAAACCACTTAGTCTGTGGTATTTTGTTATGGCAGCCCCAGCACTATGGTGCTTAATATAGTAGCCATATCAGTCAGCCCCAGCAGACTAATATAGTAGGAAAGCAACGTAATTGGATTTGGGATTTAGGAAGAGAACTAGTGAAGTATGGAGAATTGTTTTGCATATTCTTTGTCTGGTCAACTCTACACATTCTTCGAAACCAACTCCTTTGAGAAGAGTCCTTGATTCTTTAGGGTTGTTTTAATGTCCTTCAATATGTTCCTATAGTATTATGTGTACACCTTTATCATAATAATATATCATAATTCTTGACTTTAATTGGCTATCTCCCTGACTAAGTTGTAAACTCCTTGAGATCAGGAACCACATTTTATCTTTGCATTCCCAGAATCTAATACAGCACTTGACACAGAGCAGGTTCTCAATAAATATCTGTGGATATTTAAGCAGGTCATAAATTGATAGAACCTGAGGCAAAGAAACCAGTTCTAAGACTAATGATATAGTTGTTCATTAGCAGAACATCCACCTGTAACTCATGCCATATTGTCTTAACTGTTTGACAAAAGATAAAAAAGTTGATAATAGTTTATCTTTAACCTTTAATTTGTAATCCCTTCCAAAACTGAAAATAAATGAAACTTTAACTCCAAAAGTGCTGAAGAAGTTGATATTTAATGATTTTGCCTCACTGAAAATTAGGCTCCTTCCCTCTCTTCAAGTACTAGCATAAATATGCGGTACCTAATACACTTTTGAGAGAAGAAAATGCTGACTAACTATTTCTAATTACCTAATTTGTTTGGAGGAATCACCAATAGTCCACAAAATGAATTAATCTAATCAGCAAATATAGATGCATTGTTCTGTAATTTATGCAGAATTCCCGATAAGTCTTTCAGAGTTTGCCAATATGTGCAATGATTAAAGACATTTAGGCCAAAGTGAATCCTCTGTCTTTGCCTTTACAGTACAAGAATAGTCACAGAAATGGAATTTATCCATTAAACAAACAAAACATTTCTATAAATCACTGCATTAATTACTGAGTTAAAGACTGTGACTGCATCATGAAAAGCAAACAAAGGATATTACTAAAAAGAGACATATTCAGTTGATTTGACGCCACCAATGTATTTAGTTTCAGCCCTTAGTGAAAATCGTTCTAGATGACAGACTCATTCCTCTGGTCATTTAATTTTGACCTATTGAGATGGTAAATTATGTTCAATTTTTCCTGATCTTACACTATTTCTGTTCTTAGAACATTGTATATGGTTTGGGGTCTTATTGGATTGAAAGTATGTGAATCCATTTTTCTCCATTTCCCTTTAATTCTGTTGTTCCTATATATCCTTAGGCTTTTGCAGAGGCTGAGAATAGCCATAGTTTAATAGAATTTCTTAATCTTCAATTAAAATTCTAGTAAAGGTTTTCCTATTTGCTCAAGAAGACATACCAGAAATGAAACATTTATATAGACATATGTTTAAAAAGAATAATTGGGGTTATTTAGAAAGTTTAATGAAAATGAGATGACCTTCTGAAATGCTGGCCTACCTTTTGGAGATACTTTTCTTTTTCCTCAATTTTTAGGGTTTCAGCAATGACATCTGTAGCCTCTAAACAACATAAAGTCAAATTCAATCTGAAATAATTTTATTATGATTTTACAATAATATTTATATAAAATTGCATAAAGATTGAAACATAATACATACAATAGAAAGGTAAACATAAATATGTACTATGTCTTAAAACTTTATAAACCAGATTCATAAACAAATGGAGATGGAATTAATTAGCTATGGCTCCAGGGAACTTCTAATCTCTTTACAAGATAAGTAAGGCTGAGTTCAGAGACATGAAAAGGTCTCTAAAGAGAACATATTTGCAGTATCAGAGATTCTAATTTCCATATTCCTATTCAGCTTGCTATAGGAATTTAGGCATTTTCCTCAAAATAAATAGGGTGGTTCTTGAAACAGGGTTTTGGTATGTAATTCAGAAAGTTATGCCAAAGTGTAAAATTGTATTCTTATACTTACCATCTCTTCTGAAGAATCTCGGAATCAACATGTTGAAAGGTATAAAACTTGGTACTTACTGTTTTTCTCAAGGAAAAAAGACTGCAAGTAACTCTTCTCTAAAAATTACAAAAGAATAGAAATCATTGGAAAACCATAGTATTAAAAGTATTTAAGCTTTTTATACCTATAAAAATTGCATAGTAACAGCTTCCGTATCTTAGGCCTTACTAAAGTCTTATAGGCCAGGGAACTTGGTTCCTAATATTGACTCTGCCTTCAACTTTCTCCAGGGATTGCATTTGAACTCAATTATGTAAATAATTATTCTTAATACCCTTTAAGCCAAGATATAACATTTCCCCAAGTTATTCCATACCCTTTGGCCAAGTAGATGCATTGCCTACAGGATACTTGGAGGTGTACTTTTAGGTGTAACAAAGATTTTGAGTAGAAAGATTGCTGAGAAATTTTAAGAATTATTTGTATAGGGTTTTAGACATTTCAAATGAAAGATGCTCATTTTAGAATTAGGTTTGACAGATAAACAAATAAAGATGATGTGGTACATATATACAATGGGATATTAGCCATAAAAAGAATGAAATACTGCCATTTGTGGCAACATGGATGGACCTAGAGGGTATTATGCTAAGTGAAATAAGTCAGAGAAAGACAAATACCGTATGACTTCACTTATATGTAGAATCTAAAACATAAAACAAACAAATAAAGCAAATGAACAAAAACAACAGAAACAAACTCATAGATACAGAGAACAAATTGATGATTGCCAGATGGGAGGATGGTTAAGGGGATAATGAAACAGGTGAAGGGATTGATAAGAACAAATTGCTAGTTATAAAAAATAGTCACAGGATATAAAGCACAGCATTAGGGAATATAGTCAATAATATTGTAATAAATACTTATGACGGGTCTAAACTTATGGGGGTGGAATCACTTCCTAAGTTATATAAATGTCGAACCACGATATTGTACACCTGTAACTAATATAATATTGAATGTCAACCGTAAATGAAAAAAAAAATTCTTTTAAAGAATTATGTTTGGCATATGTTTTTCCTGGGAAGGACTCGAGTATCTTCAGTGTTGGTCATGGTGGAGGCAGAAATGATCGACGGGATGCAGCTACTCACCAGGAGCACTGCTCTTAGACAACCCGGCCACCGGCAGACGCTGAGCGCTACCTCCGGACAGCACCAACTGGGATTCATTAGGAGGATACATTGACGCTGAGATCCAAAATTGCTTGGCCAAGTTGGTGTCCTGTTCTGAAGAGCCGCTGAACACCAGTAATCCCTGGGGACAAATTTCACAGGACTCCTTTCCTGTGCTAGGGCTTGCTCCGGGCCTCGTTTCCATGGCAATTGCGGACGCTGCTCCCAGCTCCCAGGCCTCTTTCCTCGCCCCGCCTCTCGGAGAACGGTCAAGTTGGCAACCACCGGCTAGAAAGCCCTTAATTTCCTCCGTACATGTTGGGGTCCAGCGCGCGTTGGTGGGCTCTCTGAAGCCCACTTCTGCACCGATCACAGGCTTCGAGACCAGTCTTGGCCTTGGCGTCCAGATAGGGCAGTCAAAACATCAACTTTGGGGCGTGTCTTGTTAGTGTGAGTGGAAGCATTTCAGCTCTCATATCTCAGTCAGCCTTCTACCTGCCTCCCCTATTTTCCAGCTTCCATCCTCCAAAGATTACCTTAGTAAAGCTTTCAATCCCTAGCCCCACTGCCCCAATCCCCCTTCCACACCAGATCACCATAGCTCAGCACTCCCTACAGGGAAGTTCTGTGTCTGCTATGGTTGGAGAATATTAAATAGGGCAGTTAGCATCCTATTGGGAGCTAGAGATCTGAACTGGACGAGCAGGTATCCATGTATATAGTTTTTGTTATAACTGCCCCTGCCCCACCTTCCCAATCCTTTAAGACAAATCTTAGGAAAGAAACTGGATTTATATTGTAACTGCATTTACCAGTTGGTCCCACTAAAAGCTGCCTAGACTGCAACAGTGTAAATGATTACTTAAAAGGGATATGTCTGACAAGTGGACTCCATCCTTCCATGTAAAATATTTTAAGAAAAATTTTGTTAATGCAGTCTTATAAAAACATTAACTTATAAAAATATTAACAAGTGCAGCCCTGACTGGGGTGGCTCAGTGGATTGAGCCTGTGAACCAAAGAGTCACTGGTTCGATTCCCATTCAGGGTTCAATTCCCAGTCAGCACACATGCCTGGGTTGTGGGCCAGGTCCCCAGTTAGCGGCATGCAAGAGACAACCACACATTGATGTTTTTCTGCCTCTTTCTCCCTCCCTCCCCCTCTGTCTAAAAATTAAAAAAATATTTAAAATAAAATAAAAATATTAACAAGTGCTTGTGATTAACTTTCCTGGGAGATTTTTGTTAATTTAGGAAAAATTTAACTATTTCAGTGATAGGAAATTTGTAATTACTGTGGCAGGAATTGAGATGATCCTCATAAAGGTAACTTAGGAAATGAACACATGTTAATAACCACAATTTATGATGTTATGGTATTTTATTCTTTCAAAACATTAATAGAGTCTCATAGAAGAGATATTTGATAATCACAGGTCTATACAATGACACAAGTCAGGTAAGGAAAAAATCTGATTCTCCAATCTATCTGAAACTTTTCTGGCTAAGAGATTGAAGAAATACTGAAAAATTATATAAAAAAGTACAAATATATTACAAACATTGTATATTTAGCAGCTAAAATGTTGATTTTTTTGGGTTGAGTTATTAATAGACATTGGATAATATTAGCGTGTTTCAATTCCGCCTCCCCCAAACACACTGATGTGCACAGGCAGCTCATTTGGATGAATTCTCAAATCTTTTTACCTGGCCGTGTGGTTAGTGATTGGTACTATTAGCAATCAGCTAACTACACTGCCTAGTAACTAGACTCACAGAAAAAAAAAATTACTTTCGTCACCAACTGCAGACTCAAGTAGGCGCCCCCATAACTGTGATAGGTTAATCATTGATTCCGCTGTAGCTCACGTTAGTTGGTGGGTTAGTGAGTGCCCTATTAAATAATGAAAAATATGCAAGATGAATCACAGCTACACAACATTAAATATTACATAGGGGGCCACTCCCAGCAGTTTAAAAGTCTATATCTTTCAATTAAAGCCACTAAATCCCCCATGTTTCGAATTCCTTAACATGGGATTACACAATCTTGATTTTACTCCTGGAGAGGGTAGCAGTTGAAGTGTATCTAGAAGCAGCAGCCCGCCGGAATTTCCAGCGGTTTACTCGCACTTGGACAACGTGTTCGCCAAGCCGCGCCAAGGCCATCAAACGCTGACGCATCGGATCTCGAAGCGCAGCTTTCTGCTCTCAAACGCTTCAGGTGGGCCGTTTGCCGCCGAAGGCGGCGTCCTCCATGCAGCGGGGCGGCGGGTGATGCCGTGCCTTGTTTTGATGGCAGTGGAGTTAGTGATTGCAAGCACTAGAGTACAATCAGCTAATTACACTGCCTACAAACCGAGCACCGGGCGCCCGCGGGCAGCCGCTCCCGGACGGTCCGCAGCGCCGACGCGGTGTCCCCAGCCGGGGGGTCGGGGTATCGGGGGCCGCCTCGACTCTACACTTCACCCGGGACGACGCCTGCGGAGCCCGGGCACGATGGCCAGGTAGAGGGTCTCTGGAAGACTCCCCCGGACGCACCAAGGACCCTCGCCCAGCGCGCAGGCTGCGCTGCTCCCGCAGGACTCGCCGCGAACACTTGGCATGGCACGGCCAGGCCAGCGGGCGGCGCTCCAGGGGGAACCAGCGCCCCCGGGCCGGGCTCCTCGACCCCAGGTGGCTCCCGGGAGCTCCGGCCCGCTGGCTTCAACCTCTGCCGCCGAGCCTGGCTTCCGGCCTCCGCTGCCCCGCAGCCTCCCGCACCTCCCGGGGCCCTTCGCCTCAGGTTGCCTTCCCTTTTCCTCGCCTCTGAGCTTTCTCGGGCCGGGCTCCCACTTCCCTCATCCCAGGCCGGCCGTCCGCCCCACACTACTTCTCTACAGTTCCCAGCCCAAACCCTAGAGCCGGCTCTCTCAACCCCGTGCGCCCCGCAGCTCCAAGCGGCCGAGTGACCGCGACCGTGGTGAGCCAACCGCCCTTGGAACCCCGCGGGAGGAGGGGCGGGGCAGGCGCGAGCAGGGCTGGGGGGAGGGGCGGGGGGAGGGATAGAAGCTGCGAGAAGGGGCGGGGGTGGGGTGGGGTGGCAGCAGGGAAGAGGCCCAGGAGACCAAGGCACGGATTCTTAAAAGGTTCCTCTACCTGATCTGACACAAGGGACATGAGCTCCTGCTCCTCTCCCTGTCCCCAAGAGCCCCACAACCCAACTTGTCATGCCCATGCCCATCCCCATTAGGGAAGACAGTTTGCCAGGCACCACACTGTAGGCTGAGTTTTCCAAATGGAGACAGGCCTGGATACCTTGTGACTTGCGGAGAGCTGAGCTTCATCTGCACTCTTGCGTCCCCCTTAACTCTCGGAGGGCTGTGTAGTGAGGTGGGAGTCAAATCGCGAGCCAGCCAGCTGGTCAGTTGGATCCAAGTATGGCCCTCATGAAATCAAGGCCACAGTTTTGTACTCTCAAAAGTTGCTTTAGGCAAATTATTCCTATTTCCAGCACATATTTGTTTATATACGAGCTATGTGTTCAGCACCTAAGGTCATTCATTCCACCCTCCATATGTACAAACTAGGTGATAATAAAAACTGAACACATTATTTACCATTCAAGACAGTGTACAATAAATTACTAAACCGGGTAGAGACAGAAGTGGGTAAGATTGGGCACTGAGAATTGTAATTGGTCAGGGAAGGTTCACCGGGCAGGTGACACCGAGGAGGTCCTTGAAGCAAGACTAAATTTGGACATTGAGGGTGAGGGCTGAGAAGGACAGAGGAACAATGTCTTGTGACCAGGTCCATTTTCTTACTCTCACCATTTCTCAGTTGATGATGTAGATGTGTTTGTATTTGTAAACACAACTATATGGAGGAGATTTGGCAAAGAGGACAGTTACAGAGGATTTCTGGGAGACTTCTACTAATAATTGTTTCCTTTAGTTACTCCTTTCCCCTTTTTCCTTCAATGAATGAATCAGAAGGGGATAAAGAATATTCTCTGAATATACACTTTGTGAAACTCAATTGGAAGTAGCTTCTGCGCCCCACCCCCCAATATAGTCTTCATGAACCCAGTGCAGTACAATGACGTTAAGTCAGGTAAGTCAACTCATTGTTGACCCTGGAACCTTAGTTGTAAATTATTTCCACAAAAGAAAGCTTCCCAGCTATAGATTGATTCCTTAAACCCAGCAAATGGTCTTGCAGATGCCACCAGTAACACGGATGAGCAGGTAACCTAGATCATTTAACACATTCCACATTCACACTATTAAAACACCAGAAGAGCTTTCTAATGATAAGCCTGAGTAAGTTATAGCATTATCTTTGAATAGGAAAGCATCTATTTTATCATATTCTGTGTCATTTGTTCTGTGAATAACAAAGAGTAAGAAACCCAAGTGAAGTATAAAATGCATAGTACAGAAAACATTAATGTAAAAATTAACTTGTAAAGTTAAGTTGCAAAAGACAGTTCATTTACAACTAACTGTAATTTCTATTCATCTTTGGGAGAGGCACAATATTGTAGAACACATTACATAAACTTCTTATACTCCTTTAAAATGTACCAGAAATCAAGCCATACCAGGTAACATACCAAAATCAGAGCTAATTAGCCTCTGAGCTCTCTAGAGATAACTGTAGAGCAGATTTTGTATTTTGTAGTTAAATATATATACATAAATAAAATCAGGAGCAAAATACCTTACATTCCATAAGCAACATGCTAACTTTTAAGTCTTGATTAGGACATAGTTACAAAAATGATTTCTGTTCTCTCAAATTGTTAGTCATTTTTACCCAATGCAAGATTTAATACTTCTTCTTGATTGATGTTTTATGATTATTAGTTTGCATCTTGCATGTCTTACCTGAGTTGGATTGCTTCCTATCAAGGCTGAAGTAGATGCCTTGAAATTTAGATTTTTTAAACTTTTCTTCAGGCCCTGGCTGGGTAACTGAGTTGGTTAGAGCATTGTGCTGATACACAAAGGTTGTCGGTTTGATCTCCGGTCAGGGCACATACAAAAGGCAACCAATGAGTGCATAAATAAGTGGAACAACAAATCCATGTTTCTGTCTCTCTAAAATCAATTTTAAAAACTCTTCTTCAAATATAATAAAAATAAAACGTATATAAAAGTCACCAAGATGCATTGCCTACTGAAATAAATTTTTTAAATGCAGTTAATTTTGTAGGTG